AGGTATGAAACTCTATACCTTCCTTCTCCTTTATCATCAAGATCAGGGAACAGCCAGGTCTTAAACTTCTCATCTGTCAAACTAATGTCTGTGTAATTCTGTTGAAAACCTCAACCATTCAGACAAACCCACTGTGTTGTTTTACGATATCATTACTTTGCACTTTTTTCCCTATTTTTTTCTTCTGTAAGCACTGGAGAAGCTACTTCAAGTTCTGCCTTATTTACTCTGGAGTTGACTCCCTGTGATACAATGTCACTTTTTTACACAAGTAATTTTCTTACTCCTTCAAGAAAGCTTGGCCACATTCAGTTTTCACAGGTAACAAAGCCATACTTTTTCTGCTCCAACAGCCCTTTCCAATTTTTCCCTTTAAGTCAATGAATGAGAAGGATTTTGAAAAAAAAAAAGACCTTATTTATGGCTGGGCTCATGCCACTTTAATACTAGCCTTTGGTACAATGTTTGGAAATTAAGGTCTTATGTCAGAGTTCAGGAGGACGTTCATTTGGGGGAGAAAAAAAACAACAGCTTGCGATAGCGAGTATGGCTCAGGCAAGGCTTCAGCATAACACATACTTGTATTAAAAAATTCAAAGTTACCCTTCTTCTTTCCCTGTAAAAAAAGATGTTGTCATGTTTGACATAACCCAGTGAATATAAAGCAAATACTGTAATGCCTTGATTCTGTCAGACCCCCTCCTACATACAAGGTACAATGGGCTGAGAGGAGCTTGCAGAATTGTCAAGGGCATTGCAATTTTTAGTGGAGAAAAAAAAGGGTGTAATAAAGGAGTGCATCATAGCAAGTGGGAAAAAGAGGTCAAGAGCAAATCATTCAGGACATATATGTAACAAGATTCAGAAACAGAAATCAAGGATATCCAGACTTCTAACAAATGGTAAATGCATTATGGCTGAGACAGTAAACCTCTTCCCTGAAGCTTTGAATCATTATACATTTCAGATATCTCAAGTATCTAAAAAAAGGTAGTCATGCTTGTGAGCTATCAAGTAATCACAGCAGTCAAGGGTTAGTCTAGGTCTTAGGAAGCTAAGAAGAACATGACACTTTTCCTCATAAATGAGTCAAAGGGACAGGAGAAAAAACAAGGACACTCTGGAGCCCATGTGCCATACAGACAGCAGTGCCTGGGATCTCACCTAGCTCATCTGCAAATAGCAGAACAGTATTTTCGGGCAGATCTGTGAAAAGGCTAATAAAATGAATGGTCTGGCTTGGTCTCACTTGGGAAATGTTAAATAGATGGTTCCTCATCAGAATGAGGAATGTAAGACGAGGCATCTCTTGGTATGAACTGTTATCTTTTTTCTTCATGTAAAACTAGCCTTGTCTCAGAGGGTTGTTGGATTCCAGGTAGCTTCTCACAACTATGTATTTTCTTGTTTCTGCAATTCCAGTTTTCAGAGTTCTGACCTGAATCGCAAGAAAAAGAAATAGCAGAAGGTCAGACAGAAATGTCCAGCCTTCTCAGACAGCTATAATGATAATCTGGCGCGCCTGGTTTCCTATCTGGAATTGTTGGTCAGATATTCTTCCACAACCACAAAAATCCATGTGTTCCTTTGTCTCAAAGACTATGATGATGAAATAAGTTGGCTCTTTCATCGCTGTGTTTGAGACATGCCTCCTTTAAAATACATGAGGTGAGAATCGGGTCATACATCAGGGTTGTCATGAACAGCTAAGACATACAACTCAGATCCAAGTATAAAAATGAAATCTCTGACAGAATTCCCTTGCTTCTTGTGTACGTATCAAAATAGGTTCCTTCAAGAGTTATATTGATCCTTTTGAGTTTCATAGCCATATCCACACCTACCAAACTGCTGAGAGACAGCATTTCCTTGAAAACAAGACTATGGAACAGTATCTTAATAACTCTAAAAAGAATTATCTAAAAAACAGCCCATAATTTGTTGAGACTCTATTTGTTACTGCCAATGCTGGACCACACTATCAGATGGAATATTCTGGCAAAGATTTATCTCCTTACTCTGAAATGTATTTTCCATTTCATAATGGTATTTAAGATTAGCATATGGAACTCTAGAAATAAACCAGAACACTGATTATGCACGTTAGTCTACTCACATTTAATAAGATGCTTAAGTTCCTGAAAGAAGACTACATGACTAAAATGCCAATTTGCAGTTTTTAAATGAGGAAAATACGATAAATTTTAGAACCAGAAATGTTGTATTCTCTGGTTTATATATAGTTCAGGTGGTGTTCAGAAAACACTTAGCAGTGAAGTGAATTACAACACTACTCACTTTATGGCCCTTTACACTGGTGTATTTGGCTGATGCCAAATTCAGCACACAATATCATATTGTAAATGAGAATTTAGTTAGGTTAGAAAGCACAACTAAATAGGTCCCTACACAATATGACAGTAGATTCTTTAAATATAGAGTGATACACCGACATGTATCACCTGAAAAACAGGAAAGCTTATTGAGCTATGCCACCTTTGCACAGAACAGGCATCTGCAGACCATTGCAAACTTTCAGGAAAATGAAATAAGAAGGACACACAAGAGTACTTGTTCATCGAATGTCAGCAAAGGTTTTGTGTATGGAAGCCAAAATTCCTTTTTGGTTTTGGCTGGTAGTAGGAACGTAAGTTGATAAACTGACTGTCTTCTAAAACATTTTTGCGTGTTTGGCATTAAATACCTGCCTGTTTGGTGAAGAGCATAGTGAACACAAAGAATTACTGTGTGAAGGCATTTTGTAAGATCTGTGCAATTCAAAGTACTGTCCTGCTGGCTTGAAAGTAATTTTGCAACACGGTCCAGGAATTGCCAGGGGTTTTAAGACTGGTATTCCACCAACTTGGTAAAATCTGGCTTATTCTTTTCACTTATAGACTGTAGGCATAGAATTAATTTAATTTAAGATTAGATAGCTTGCAATGTATACTTCTGCAGTTGGATTGGCTTTCTTTATATTCAGTGAACAGAAATATGATAGTTGCAGTGTATAAAACAAGTTTTGAACATTAGGATGCGATTGAAGTGCTTTTTTTCTTTTCACTGACCATAAAAGGGAGTACAGAATGACGGACAGACTTGTGAGCAAATACAGATGACAGGGTAGCAACCCTAGGTACAGTTGTGCATTGAGACAAGAACTGATGCTCATGAGACAAAAAGTCTACATGGGGTTTTGTAAAACAAGAGTTTTATCTGATTTAGCTCAGGTAGGACAAGGACCTTCGGGAGACACTTTTAAAGCTGTTGACATTATAACAGACTAACTGGCTCACAACAGTGTAAATGGCTCAAACAGAGCTCATGTGCTCTCACTGTCCTCACTTATCAGCCACACATCTGCATAATACAGTACAGCAGCACGGAGGTGTTGATCATGTGTTGATTAGTAACGCACATTCTCCTTACAGCATAGATTGAATCCCACACCAGTACAATAACTGCTGTGGTTAAGTAATTTTCAAATTATTTATGAAGATCCTCATTGAACCTGATCTGCACCAGTATAAGGATTTCTTTGATCAACAAGCAATTTTTTTACTCATTGAGAAGATGCCTGTAATCAATCTGATGTCCCAGGAAGGTGTAGATGAGAAGAGTGGTCTTCACCCACATCAAACTTACTCATCATCATTCTCCAACCAATTGTTCTCCTGGATTTAGATTTTCATAGTACCAATGGACCTTGCTGACCACGTTTTGGATTGGGCTGTTTCAGTGTGCTGCCAGTTTTCACATGTAGGCAAAACATAACAAGTCATTCTGAGGTTGAAGAGCACTATGGATGCGGTCTACAGGTGATCAAGAGCTCTCAATTAAGATGATTAATGGTTCTGTACACTGAACATCACCATGAAGCAGCTTTTGCTTGGTGAAATGTACCAGTTGCTAGATGGATTGTTTAAATCATGATCAACTTTACAGTAACTTGACATTCAGAGGTACACTTAACACTCTCCTCCTCACTGAGCAAATCTAATGCAAATTACATATTATTTACATTAGTATCATGGGAAGACCTTAACCAGAGAAGCAATGCAACCTAAAAATTATACACACATTAGCAAAGTCATCCAGTTATGTCTTTGTTTTAATGGATTTTTTAAACATTTGTATCATCAGACAAAACATTTAGATCATGAGAAAATATTTATTTTCAACAGCATGGACTTTGAAAGTTAGTTGGAAGAAGGCATGATCAATGCTATGATTTTTCCAATGCTGGGTCAGTTGAAACAGTGTGTTGTAGTGCATATATTAACCAGTTACTTTAAGGAAATGCAAAAAGACATAGTGAAGTAGGAAGTGAGTACAAACATTCAAGGCAGTAAAAATGCAGAATACTGACACATGGCTGAAAAACGTACTTTCTGTAATGCTCTTTTAGAATCACACAAAACTAGCAACTCACTTTAAATCATTCTTTGTCAGCAACCATACTTCTGACCATATGAAATTATTAAATTTAATACAGTCTTTCAGCTGGAAGAGATATTAAGGTCTAACGCTCATATCAAACGCCTAGATTTTGTTAGCTTTGCTTGTTATTTAAGATATTTTCAAGGTACTGCACCAGTAGCACACAGTTGGTTTTTTTTAAAAATTGATTTGTATAGAAACATGCAAATAGTAATGCATGAGGGTTTCATATATTTGATTATAATTGGATGTATTATTGATAGAGCACACCAAGCTTTTTTTGTTACATTTTATGCTGAACTGTTCCATTTCCACACCTACCAATTGCCATCACAATTCTATGGCTTATCGTATAAAGCCAGAAAGTGGAGAAAGTAAGAATGTCTTTACTTAGGACACATATTAATGAAAATAATTCTTTTCTAGATAGATACATATAATTAAGATTACATGGTATTTTTCTCAGCATGAAATGTAAAAAAAAAAATTCTCCAAACATCCCAAACTAGTAGGAAAACACAGTCAACTGGCACAATACACTCTTAAACCAGTTTTGTATAAGGCTTCAGTTTTCCTGATGAATGGGACTAAATTTTTAAGTAGGTCTGTATACATTTTAGTCATTATAACTGTTTTATGTCACAATATATTCTTAATAAAATAAAAGCTCTTGTGTTGTAATTAAAGATAGCTAGTAACCTTCTAGACAAATATGATCTTTTAGAGAGTAGGCTGTGTCTAAAGTATAAGAAGTAGAATTAAGGTGCTTCCATGTTTTTGCTTTCATTCTTAAAAAGTACCACACATAAACAATTGCAGTAATTGCTTGCGGACATGCTTTTCTTTGGCTTTTACCATATTTGTAATAGCATGTGATCCCCCGTTTGAGAATTTTATATTCATCACTTACTTGATTATGTAAAAATTGCGTTATAAAACTTAATGGAACAAAATGTTGGATGCATTTACTTTGTCACAGCTACACTTTCTTCTCTTCCTTTCAGAATTTCCGTTTGCATCAAGCAATAACTGCAAGCAACAATAAATTTAAAGCTAGATTTTTTACACGTTGTAAACTGGGTAGGACCAGGAGTTACTGACAAAACCAGCTGGTCATGCAAGATTAGCAAATTCTCTGTATTCCAACGCGTTGCCATCTAATCTGTTCTGTTTCCCCCAACACATACTAACACAATGAAGCTGGACAATGGTTCAACAGCAAGTGCATGTGATAGTTCTGGCAAGACTATTTTTGTTTTGATTAAGCACATATTTTATCCAGGAGGGGCTAGAAAAGCAGGGCCTTTTTCTTCAGGTCATTCCGCTTCCAAAGTGCCAGACGATCAAATTCCTCAATGCTCATTTTGAAGACTTCCTGGAACTCTTCAGGGGACAAATGCCTCTTGAAAATGAAAATACAAAAGGTATCATTAAGCTCTTCTGTGCACAGGAATATTTCTGCCCTTTCTAAGTTTTAACACACACCACAAAATAATGTATTAGGATTTGCATTTAAATTCCCAAATTAGTTCTGGAAAAGACTGCATCAAAACCAAATGAGCTCAGAGTAACTGAGAAACAAAATTATTAATGGCAGTAGTGACTTTTGGAAAAAAAAAATAATCTTTTCAATATAGTTCCAACTGAGCAGAACCTATGGTCTTCAGCAAAAAGATGTGTTTTTATCTGGTGCTTAATGACAGAGCACACTGAGACAAGTTTAAGCTATTTCAGGACTTGAGACTGATAACAATGTAATTTCAGAGCCGCATTTGTTTTGCCTTGATCTTTAATAAGAGCAGTGGACACCACACTGGTCCACTAATAGCAGCCTTGTAACAAAGGAGAGAGCACACTGCCAAATTCTTAAATCCAAAATGTGCTTATCCATGGGGATAGACTCATATCAGAACTCCAAGTTGGAAAAAGCTGGGGTTTTTTTAAATGCCAAGAACTATGCTTCTATTTGATGTTTTCACGATTCAATATAAAAAAAAAAAAAAAGAGAGAGAACTAGAGAAAAAGAGAATACCAACAAAGAATTGGAAGGAGGTAGGATACCAATTGCCTAACAATTATTAGTATACACACAGAAAAGATAAATGTATGAATTAGAAATTAATCTTATAAAAAAAATTCCGATAATTGTGGACTAACTCTTTTTCAAGCATTTCAATAGTATCAATATCTGTTTCCGATGTGTTAAACACACACTGCCTGAAAGGGACAGATTCACTGCAACAAGAATTACAAATTGCAGTTTTTAAACACGGACTCTCCTCTTCCACAAAGGTTTCCTTGAAATCTGGGACCAACCCTGCAATCTAACCCTCTCCTCCCCAACCGAACATTTGACTTGAAATTATCCAGATGCAGCTGTCCTTCCAGGCACACCCCGGCAGCCCCATCTGGAGCACTTCAGTGCTTGCTGAAGCACCACCTGCACCCAGAAACGAGGTCCCCCAAAGCTGCCAACCGCAAGAAACGCTTGGACATGCTTCACACAGCAGAATCAGGCTCATTACACAATAGATAACTGTGTTATTTCAAGGGAAGGATGTTGGTCCTTTCCTTTCATCTCACTGCTTCCTGGTTGCAGGACTTCCCAGGAGGTGGGAAACCTGGGTTCAATGTCCTCGTTACTTGGAGGAGGCTCCAAATTGCCATTTAATCCACATCATTCAGTCTCAAGACACATGCCAGCAACGCAGCTAGGAGAGTAACTTTAGAGAAGATACAGTCCTCAAGAACGTGAATAATGCTGCCTGCAAATGCTGAGTGCAGATGCTGGAGGTAGGTGGGAGCACAGCACTTCCCAGAGGCAGGAAAGCCACTGGGTCCTTTAGACTATGTTTTTACTGGTAATTCAAATAGGCCAAGGTTGTCTTATCATTTTAATTAGGTCCCAGCATCATCTGGAAGAGTGCTTGCTGCTATTGGCCAAAATTGTGGCAGGGAGCATGCTAACACGCCATCCCTCAATGGTTTACCCAACCAGGATGGACACAGCCTCATTGGCTTACCTTACAAAGCTATTTTTTGGACAAATTAGAAAGCAAAATTTTACTTTTCACTTATTAACGATGTATTTATCTTTGTAACGTAAATTACTCAAGGACAATCAATGAAATTGCTTATAAGAAATCACTACATTTGATTACCTTGAATGGTCATTATGGGCCCTTGTGGTTTCTTAAAAAAGGACAGCCTTGTTTTTTTTCCCTTGAGATTCCACACACTAAGAACAACACTGACTAAGAGTTTGGAACTAAGCCTTCATTTTTCATTTGACCAATGATAGCAACTCACCATAAGCACTATGCATAGCATGGAACAAACACGCCATGCATATTTGGCACAGGAGATTCTGTTTCGCATGGAAATGAGCAACATCTGACAATGTATTTTAGAAACAATCTCTTACTGACAGAATTTAGTTCTACTGGGTTTGGAAAGAAAAAGTAACTTCTCTCTGCATTGATTTTTTTTTCATATTTTCCTGGTAATCCAGTGAACAAATGTGAGCAAGCTTATATTCAGCAACTTCTCACAGCAAAGCACATGTCTGTAAATTGTGGGATTGAAAAGAAGTCTGGATGAGCAAAGCGTATCACATTTTATTTTATCTTGCTTTCTAGATTGTGGATAAGACTTGAGATGTCCCCTCACTCAGGAGAAAGCAGTGACAAACTGTAGTTCATACTCTAAGAGAAAATCATCATTTCACCATTTTTTTTTCTTGAATTACATCATGTCTTCCTAGAAACTGCTGTGGTCTCACCAGATTTGTTTCAATACTGAAAGTCAATGGAGGGAGAGTCAGCAAGCTCTATGTCAGGCCTCAGGACCTTTCTGAAGGGTGCTGAATACTTGCTACGCTTCGCCCTCGACAAAGCTCTCCACCAACCTCAGTACAAGCCCTGCAATTCCCCTTTCCTCTCCGAGACCGTACTTTGCCATTTGCAATTTTGCTTTGCCCTCAGGCTTAGCAAGCTTTCAGTCCGTATGCATCTATTCGAGCCAGTATGAATTAGACTCATGCTCTGCTCCTCTGCTTGCATCCAGATGACATCACCTTCATTCCTTGCATGCACTCATTTTCTAATTACATTGAAGCTCTGTTTTACACCAGCCCTGTGGTTTTTTTTTTCCTCACAGAAGTTCTCATTTGGTGCTGTCTGGTCCAAAAGCAGTTGAGAGTTTCCAGCCCAGGGATGCAGTAGCAGAGATTGAGATGGGGAAAGCACAAGCTCACTTATTTCCACCTCCCGTTCCACTAGGCAGTTTCTTTACTTCTAATTCTCCTCCACATACTGCCCCTCATCTCAATGACTATCGACCAGACTGCAATATTAGCAAAGTTTCTTACTCCATCAATGCATTATCCACACGAAAACTTAATTCTAGTAGAAGGGAACAGTTCCCCTTTGGTCGGAACCCTCTCTAAGGGCACCAGTTCGCGCCCACTGTAGCATAATTCCGTTTTCCCTGCATCTCAGAAACTTTCACTATCCCTTTCTTAAGCATCATGGGCTCTAGCTTTGGGACCGACCCGAGAAGCAGCAATGATTACAGTCCTGTCTGCAAATTTTGGAATAAACCTTGATCCCAGAAAGATGTCATCGAACTGGCGAAGCTTCAGATAAAATTAACAAATGTAATCATGGTTTGCAGAGTTTGATTTATGAGGAAAGACTAAAAGGCCTAAGTATGTATAAGCTTAGCCAAATGATGACTAAGGGAAAATATGGTAAATGTCTACAAGTATTTGAAGGGTCTAAACACCATGGGAATAGGCCTGTGTGGGAAGTTTATGTTCATACTTTTCTCTGTATGTGTGATGTTAAATTTTGTCTGCACTATTGTTGGGACTATTCCTAAACCTTATAGCTTTAAGACCTAGAGTTCTTTCCAAACAAAGGCAGAGGAAATGCACCACTAAGAAATCTTAGATTGATTTATCTTTCTTCTCAGCTATTTGTATATTAATTTGCCTTAACTGAAGTGTTACCTTGTCTCATTAGTCAAACAAAAGAAGGGAAATTGAAAATTACACGTAGGCAATAGGGAGGAAATTCATCTTGAGGTATGACAGAAGATGTATGTGTAAAGTTATGCTTTACAATGCCAAGAACACGATTTCTTTCTTTTTTTCTTTTTCAGGATTGGATCATCTTAAAATATCCAGCTATGTTAACAGTGCATCATTGGGCCATTAAAGGAATGGCCAAACTTATTAGTAAAAGTAACATTCCTTCCTTTTTTTTATTAGTGTTGGCCTTGTTTACATAGGAAGTCTAGGTGTTTTACAGCTTACTAGGAACCAATTCTTAATTCCCTTTGTGATAATTTGGCCATATTCAGGCCGTTTAACTCAATCTACTTCTCTGCTCTGCATCAACGGCAAAACTGGGCACGTTGCAGACACTGAGGAGAGTACAGAGGACCAGATTAAGGTCCCCTTCTGCCCACACTCTGAACTGACTGTATTTAAGTGAGCTCATTTTGGAAGCTGCATAGTGATGTTAACATGATGCTGCCTGAAAGCCTTGCCAAAAGATAAGGTAAATAGCTTAAAGATGGTTCTTCACAAAAATGACTGATAAACTGGAGCTTGTAGCATCAGAACATGAGGATTTTGGATAGATTTAAGTGTGAAATTGTCACACTAGAAAGCACTACCGCACCATATTGTTTTGATCTGAATCTTGTAAAGTCAACAGCGTTCAATCTTTTATTCTGGATAGCATTTCGTGTCAGCTTACATGGCAAATCAGAAAAAGCAGTGAGATTCAAGTTCAGTAAAGTGCTGGTCCCACCAGATGTGTCCATGGGTCGCAGCAGTGGCTTTGTGTGGAAGAGGAATTATGTCTTCAGAAGCACAAGCTCTCACCTGCACTGACAGCATTTTGGATTAGAGAAATGAGGTCAGAACACTCGGATCCCACTTTGGGAAGCCTGAAGGTGGCCTGCAGCTTGGAAACTGAATGCTGCTGCTGTAGTTCCTCACCTGGATATTACCTATATGGGACAGTGCTGTGTAAGAAGGGTTACCACACCTTGCTGTAATTATGTAGCTAGTTCACTGAGTGCACCCTCAGCAAGTTTGCTGACGACACCAAGCTGTGTGGTGTTGTGGACACACTGGAGGGAATGGATGCCATCCAGAGGGACCTTGAAAGGCTGGAGAGGTGGGCCTGTGAGAACCTCATGAAGTTCAACAAGGCCAAGTGCAAGGTCCTGCACGTGGGTCAGGGCAATCCCAAGCACAAGTACAGGCTGGGCAGAGAATGGATTGAGAGCCGCCCTGAGAAGAAGGACTTAGGGGTGATGGTCAATGAGTAGCTCAATGTGAGCTAGTAACGTGCGCTTGTGGCCCAGAAAGCCAGCTGTATCCTGGGT